GGTCATCGGAACTTGATATCGGCACAAGCTCGGATGAAGAAAAACTACGATGCCGTTCGGGCATTACCGGCCTCATGGAACGAGGGAGAAAAAGTCTTGGTGCGGATGAAACGGGTCCAACGCGGCTTGTCGCGGAAACTGCACCCGCCATTCGTAGGTCCGTGGACGGTCGTACGGGAAGTTGCTCCGCAGACCTACACTTTGAGGGATCGTACGGGTCGCGAGCGTAATGTGAATGTCAAGGACATGCGTCCGTTTCGGTCGCGGACGCCCGATTCGGTAGCGTTGGCCGAATGAGGCGACTCGAGCGCCACCTCGAAAGTATAAAAGGCTACTCGTCCAGGAATAAATTAACATTCACTCCCTACCTTCGTTATCTGGCTTATCACACGTTACAATATCGACGCAATTGGTCAACTTCAATCGCCCCCTTATTCCCAAATATGTGTGGAACAAAAAATTGGCCTCCGTCGACTCTTAAAAATGACTCATCCTCTTCAAAATAAATATTTTTGTGCGACAACGAGAAGAGATGGAGACCCCGGGTTGGTTTTGTTGGAAAGCTGAGGAAAAATGCTGAAAATTAGACATGGGCCCGAATGCCCAACACATTTTGTCTACGAGAGTTAGACAATTTTTTGCCCCTCTTGACCTGATTTTCGGACATTTTCCGCCCAAAAGCCTTCTGCACCACTGCGGAACTGCACCAAACGAATTTTTTCTGAGCGTCATTCATCCGCGAGACGGATAAGAAAAGAAAATTCTTCGCATCTCTTGGTGCTCATAATTATTTTCGTGTTTTCGACCTCATCCCAAGGAAACCGGCTTCCTCAAAAGCTATGCCCACAGCATCGCATTCGACTCCCCCAATGAGGACACTTCTTTTTAATCCCCAAAGGGCTTCGCGCCCTCGTGAGGCTCGTGACTTGAGATTCTGTATTCGAGATTTCCATGGCATGATCAACTCGGCTCTCAATAAGACATCGACATGGATCACATCAATCTTCATCACTATCCTCCTCGATCACGGGAGCATTGGAACCATCGTTGAAGAGTGAGCTTAGAATTTCAGCCGGTCTGATGATTCTTGAGAGAAAGCGCGCATGGGACAGATAGTATACGACAGCCGCAACATGCGAGCAGCAGCCTACGGTCCGAGCACCGTTGGCGCAATTCACAGTAATGT